ACTACTTAAATATATAACGATAATTAAGCAAACTTAACAGCGAAACTGGTATAAAATGCAAACCTTAATACTTTATTTTGCAAAAAAAAAAAGTTTTACTTATACAAGCTCTTTTCAGAAGGAACGTGAGCCAAAGCTAATAAAGTGGTATACTGCTTATAGGTACATAATCTGACGAATTATAATATCTAAATACAGTCAACTCTTTTTATGACGAACTGAAGATTTTGAATGAAAAAAATATTCGTTAGAGGAAATTACTATGGTTTCTTAAGAACCCATGGCACTTTTATATCAAACTATGATGAAATTTCAAAATTTTTGTTCGTTATATCCAGAGTTCGTTGTAGGAATGTTCGTTATACCCAGAGTCGATTGTATTTAAGAAATTTAAAATATCATTAGGTTCAGTCCGTTTAGAGTGTAAGCTACAGCATTTTAAATATAGTAAGGTCTTAAGTTCGATTATACAAACCAAGAAATAAAAAATAACAGGACTGGTCGGCTTGATGAAATAAATATTCAGTCAAAAAAAATTTTTTTTATTGTGCGATTCATTAAGGTATTTTATTAATTATGTATCAATAATCTTTTAACAATTGGGTATCACCAAAGAAAACTACACTTTAGGATTTTAAATTTATCAATTACAGAACACGATATCTAGACAATAATATAAACTGAATCCAGTAAATAATAAATCTGAATATTGATAAGTTTTTTCTTGGTGATATCCAACTATTGTTATTTGTTGTTGCTGTAATAATAAAATGTTGATTTTAATTGACCAGGTTTTAGGACGTTTTGGAAAGGGTTCGTATTTAATTAAAATAATCGGGTTAATTCGAAGATAGAAACGATGCTGTAGATTCTTTTAGCATCATGTATATTTTCAAAAGATAATCTAACATCTCCTTGTTATTTTGGAACCTAGCATAAATATATTTTGTAACTCGAGTCTAATATTAAGAAATCGTAGTTAATTTAAAGAATTAGGAAGCATTATTGATTCTGAAGTCAAAAGATATTTGAAAGGTAGTTGGTTATTATATAATTAAAATATTACAAATTTTAATAAATTTTTTGATATTTGACTTCTTGATTAAACTTTGGATTAATTAAATTTTTTTTTTTAAATTCGTATCAGATAATACAATTTCAAAGTTAATATTCGTACTCTGAATATTAAATAAAACCATGGATGATGATTTATTTGAATATACGGATGGGGAATATTTACAATGCTATGATCCTGATGTTGATTACGAAATTCTTGATGATAATGAAAGTTATCTTGAGAATGCATCACAAATATCATCAACATCAAGAACTACCACCACGGAAGGTACTATTATAGATAATGACTACGATATTAAAGAGATTTTTTTTGATCATGCAGCGTTAAGCCATGCAAAAAGTTTGGCAATATCTAATTTTGAAGGTCCAGAACAAGAGGAAACAGATATTGATTGGTTAGCAGTGGATGGTGAATTA